GCAACAATATATTAGAAATGCAAGTTTTGTAATAATTCAGCTAAGCTGGTTTACTGACAACTTGACTAAATGTTGTATGTTCACATATATGGTTTCACCAAGCTATTAAAAATACTTTGAAAACATGCATCGATTGTGTGTTTGGAAATGTTTCAACTCTGTTACCGAGCTTCAAGATAAGTCGTTCACTCGTTCGTGTGACTCGTTGAATTTATATGATTGATTTATTGACTCGGGCACTTCTTTTGTGTCATGTTCCTGATAAAATCAACCAATTTGAGAGAGAAAAAAGAGCCCGCAGAAAAAAGAGCTTTTCAAACCCCTCCGGAACCGTAAAGTTTCAAAATACAGGCAAAAACAAGTGACACTATATACGTAATACACCACACTTACAGTAAAACGTGAAATAACATCCGCTCCGTGCAAATATTGAACTAGGAACTATAATATTAACGTTATTATTATCTACATAAATTAGTTCCTTTGGACATTAACGTTAAAGTTGCTATTACTTATATGAACTATTAACTTTGGACACTAAGTTTAAAATTACCTTTATTTGTTTGAACAATTGATTTTGAACAATAACTTTAAAATTTGACATTATTTCATGAAATATTAACTTGAGATAGTAACTTTACAGATAGAATTAGTTACATAAACTACTTACTTTGGGCAGCAAGTTTAAAGTTAACATATTTTGTAAAGCTCATTACAGCGAAATACCAACTGATAAAGTGAACCAATTTCACGTTCCATAATAATATCCTATGCTTGGTTTACACAGTCAAATGTGTTGTGGCCTTGTTTACGTGTTGTGGAAATTTCTAAACCAGAAATAACACGCAATCTAAACTCTTTCCACGCATTATAGGATTAGCATGGATATTATTAATTTAGGTTTTATACTAAGATTATATATTTTTCCATTTGATGTAATAATTTTAAGATTCTATGCTTTCAAAAAAGTGATTTAATTTCAAAGAATTTCACTCGAAATAAATCGTTTTATCAATTCGAAGATCCAACGACATATCTTTCCAGACGAAAAACCTACGCGTATTTCCATGTGTTTGATTGGATGCTACCGGTTAAACGGGAAGCTTTACTAGTAAGAATATGGAAATAGTATTAAAACTTGTGCCAAAGAATAACACAGATAAAAGAAAAAATATGTAATTTTTATAACTTTTTTTATATTTAATTAAAATTTTATAATAAACTATTACGAACAATTTGGTAATAGTCAATAATTTTATGAACTCAGTATCAATTACTTACTAAATTATTTAAATTCTCCTAACCTTTACATGGACAGCTGGTGCGTGTAAACCTGCGCTATCTCTGTTACCGCTCCAGCTGATTCTTTATGTTGTATTAACAAACATCCGCAATAGCAAAGAGAGCAGAAAGAAACAAACGTTACTTCAAAATTATTTAACCGGTTTAGTCATTTTTCATGATATTAATAAATATCTGAGTGTTATAAAGTTCTACCTCATAAAATGTAGTTAAAATAACTGTATTAACTTCATCATGAGGCAAGGCATAATACTGTAGCTATCGCCACCACTGCGTTTCCCGCCAAACGCAGCCTTTTGATGAATTAAGTCAGTTGTTGTAAACAGAGTCAGTTGTTATACCATACTCGGCTGTGTATTAGAGAGTTTGGAGTTGTGAATTCACGTACTCTAACGTAAATTCAAAAGCATGGCTTTATACCACCAAAACAGTGTCAGAAAAAGAACACTTCAAGAATTCAAAATGCAGGAAGAGGAAGGTATTGGTAGCCTGTGCAGGTAACTACAGCAAGTTGAATTACTGTTGATGATTTATTAATAGATGAATATATTGTGCTTGATACTAACGATACTCTTGTTTATTTTGGTATTGTTTTCGCCTTCGCTAACTTTACATTTAAATTACTAGTCTGTAATCACGCTGATCAATGGCCAATAGCCTTATATTATTAACTGAAGACCGAAACTATTAGTTGTTGAGTTATACTTCATAATTATTATTACGGTAATGTTATTATTAACTATGGAATTTGATTTATGATGTGTTTAGCAATAAATTATAAAAAATAATAAGTAAAAATCAAATTTATTATTGTTATAAGTAATTATAATTGGTTAATTTAGTCATTGGGTATGTAATGATATAATTTGAATATCTTAAACTTAACTTGTATGTTGTACGTTGCAGGTATATTTAGTAATGTCTTTAGCCTAAGATTTAACTGGGTACCGTAATCTTGTAAGTGTAATTGTGCATACTCCTAATGAAGCATAACTTGTAATTATATAATCATAATGGTAATAGAACACGAGGTGTAGTTTTATTTGGCTTAATGTTGTAATCAAACTGTTATAGAACAGCGAGCCAATATTATAATATCCGGGTATCATGGCCAAACTGTGTAAATAGAGATTCGTATACTCACGTATAGAAAGAGAAACTATTGTATCTGAAAAGGTTCAAAAATATTGGAAACTTGTATGCGTCCTAAGCTGGAGCTATAGCTTCAATACAAAGCTTTCGCCTTAAGGTCAGTTAGTTCCAAATAAAAATTAGAAAATACATTGATGTTACGCGTAAACCCGGATTCTAATTTTTAAGTTTTGGCCTTTTGTAATATTCGTGTTTCTAAGTTACGTTATTACGAAATTATTTTAGTTTTTAGGCAATACATTTTAAATACTTCACTGTTAAGTCCCATAGGCTACTTGTACTAGTAGGTAATGTGCAAAAAAAATAAAAACTATTTTACGTTATTTAAATTATGACGAGATGTTGACGTAAGTTTTGGAATGCAACTTATATTTAAGTTAATTAAACTTTTAAGTTTATGATGTACGTATTTCACTAGGTATCTGAGAAGATTACTAAATTCTGCTACCGAGGTAGTCATAGCTTCTAAGTTTCATTTTGTAATTAACGCTTCTTAACTTCACCTCATTTTCTTAAGATATATGTAGCGTGTGTTCATAAATTCTTGTAACAATTGTGTTTTTATGACAAAATAGAGCTTTGATTGTTAGAGGACGTAGGCCTACTGCTGTAAAGTCGGCAGTGTTGTGACATTGGAAATTAGCACAATAATCATAATTGTTTTAAAAGTAAACAAACTAGTAAGCGTGAGTTTCGTTAGCCGTGGATAAAATATATGTAGTTATTTCTTGAAAGGCTATGGAATAAATTGAACAGATGATGCTTTAAATTTAAATGTACCTCTAGTTTTTAATTCAGAACTTGCAATGTGAGAAAAATATCTATGAATGTATGATGAAATAGGGTATGGAAGCTTGCATTTAACACTGTCTTATAATTTATTTAACTGTACAAATAATCTTATACCAACAGTTTATGAATACTATTACTATAAAAGCATCTCTATTTTGATCGTATATTTTGTTTATATACATATGCCCTCTTACATCTGCCGGCTCTAACAACCGGCAGAACATCGTTGCATAATACCGGCTGCAATGAAGTTCCACACCCACAAGAGTGGAATGGTACAATGGCGGTAAAAACTTTGGCATCGTGCCAAGTGGAAGAAGTAATGTCGGTAGTGTTGACGACAAATAAATTATGTCATAGCATTCTTGTGACCTACAAGATATATTAACATATAATTAATCTAAATTTAGCCAGTATTTTTATGCATGCATAAAACGTTGATAAAACTTATGAATTATTTTAATTAACATTTATTTAAACGAGAAACTAAAAAAAAAAAAAGTTTGTAATTTATCAAGCTGTGTAGTCAATTTACAGAACCTAAGAATTTGTTAATATACTCTGAATACCCATTCTTCGAAGATTGATTGGACTGATCGCAGAATAGCTAACTTGAAAACCATGATGTATTATATAAAGGTTATTTTTTTTTTATTTTTACGTTTCAGACTTGCCAACCGACCAATATCTCCGAAAACACAGCTAGAACACGAGAAGCGAATACGACGAGAAATCGCGAATAACAACGAACGAAGACGTATGCAGAGCATCAACGCAGGGTTTCAGTCATTGAGGGCTTTATTGCCCCTAAATGAAGGAGAAAAATTGAGCAAGGTATATGTGAAACAATACATCTTTGGTTGTTAGAATGTCCAGCCATAGTATTTAGTAAGAATGTAACGATGTAGTAAGTTTGCTGACAAACTAAAGCTAATATTAATAATTTATTAATTATGTAAAGTATAGAAACTATTAGTAAATATTTTACGTAATAAAGTTATTTTATATACATGTGAAATGCGAAACACAACCCTAGAGGCAGAAGTTGTTACTTTGGCACAAATGAAAATGAACCTTCTTAAATATTGATTTCGATAAGAAATGTTTAGATAAATTGCATCTATCTGGTTGGGTAAAGAACTACTTTTCATAATTATTATACATTAATATCCAGTGCATGGTTCTGACCATCGAATAAGAATTGTTCACGAAAAATTAAGGTGAAAACAAATCCTATAGGCAAGAAACTATCCGTAAACAGTAACTGTGGGTTAGCTTGGAATTTTAGTTTTTAATTTTCTTAGTTTTTACAGTATCAAAAACGCTTATGCTAATATCTGGTCGTACCAGCCATAGCTTGGTATGAGATTATCATGATTGTAGAAACAAGATTTTAGTATAATTTATTTCTTTTTATTGATGTGCCCAACTTTTAAAATTAAATTTGTTCTTAAAAGTGTGAAAGATATTTGCTATTTAAAGATGTAATATTTGTGTATTTAACTCTTTTTATTAAGAAACTAGGAAAATTACGGAGGCGTGCTATTATTGATAACGTTCAGCTTAGTCACGTGATTAGTGACATCGCCAAGACGAAAGCGTCAGCATTTTAGTCGTTGCTAAGCCTACTATGGCGAAACGTTGCTCTAGGGCGTTGTGCACATTTCGAAATGTGACTTGGATGGGCCAAATAATCTTCATCACTATTCTTTTCTTACAAGAGTCGGGCTTGGCTATTCAATTAGAGTAGCCCAAGAGTTGACGGTGCTCGCTGATAACAGCTGCTTACTGTAGTTTATCAGTTCAAAATTAGGTAACGCATGTGCAGATAACACTTGTATAGCTTTGCACAATATCCGAAACAAATGAATCTTTTCTTGTACATGCTAATTGGAGTTTTTTCAGGCTATTTTGGAAGGGATAAAACTTTAAAAAAAGGCGAACATTTCCTACATATTTTTTCGTTAGGTGCTCTAAATATTTGTCCAGTTAATACGTGTTGACATTAAATTTATTTCATGAATTTCAATGGACTTTTAATTAGGTTTCCATTTCTTTGAAAATGAATAGAAGACAAATGTGGTAATATGTAAAACCTTAAATATTCGTAACTATTTGGAACCAAAATAATTTAGTTTCTTAAGGTTAAAATGATCACGTATTTACGTTAAAAAACAAACAAGAGTGTTAGAACCAGAGGGCTAATGCTAAAAAAAAATAATAATAATAATTGTATTTCAAAACCAAAATAAGGTAAGCCTTAAGTCACGCAAATACAGAGAACACAATCCAGTCAGTTGGCTTACAGTTCAAAGTATTTTTGAGATTGTTTTTTTTATAAAATAGTTGAGGAAGCAGTAAGTAGCTTCAAAGACGGAACGTTTTTTTTCTTTTTGGATATTATTTAAATATCTAGTCGTTGTCCGATTTCAAGGTGTCGATAAAAATGCTTCTTCCTCCGATGACGATAAACAGGTTAGTGTACGAAAATCATCTGTTTCATAAGATTATAAAGCAGCTTTTGTTGATCGATTTAAACCACCACCACCTTTTTTCCTGGGGGGTCCTTCAGTCCTTGGCGTCGTGTTGCAAGGTAACCTGGAAATTTGGCGGTAGAACAGAGTAGAATGTCGGTGTGCAGAAAAAATAGAGAGAGAGTAAGAACGTAATGCATCTGTTACTATCGGCTCGCCGGAAGTTCTTTTGTAAGTTCTACAACGATATTCCTACAGACGCTCTCCTCAGATTCGGGTCCTGTACCTGCAGTCGCCAGGTGGGCTGACAAGTAACCGTTGGTTCAAACGTTAACAGGTTCTATAATACAATACTAAGCAGTTTGTTCTTATGTGGTGACCAACCGGCACAGTGAGTTGAAACTGAAAAAAAAAAAAAGAAACTGACAGTTTATTACTTGCTAGGCAGCTTTAACAGACATGCTTTATAAACAGACTTATTGTAAAATAAGATGCATTTCTAAACAGCTTCAAAGACGGATACACGGAACGTTTTTTTTTTTGTATTTTTTTATGAATACCTAGTCGTTGTTCTCCGAGTTCAAGGTGTCGACCTAAGCACTTACTTCATTTAGAACCTAACTAGGCTCCTACTAATGACTAAGAACAGTATATTTACCGGTTACAGTAACACATGAGATTGGACCCAACTAAGCCTCTACTAATGACTGAGTACAAAAATTTATTGGTTACAGTTAACACATGAGATAGGACCCAACTAGGCCTCTATTAATTGATCGAGAACAATATATTTATTGGTTACAGTAACACATGAGATTGGTATTATATTTGGTACTAGTGATTGTTTGTTATTATTTAATAGTATATTCAGTGATGTGTTGTAGCTCAATAACTGTAATTTCTACTTTCCGATTCAATATGTTTGTATCTTATCCAGCAGTTTTGTCATAAAAGGTATAAATACACTAGTTCTTTAATTTAGAGGGCTATTTGGTAATAAACGATTTTGTTCCCAGTTGTTGTTTGACATTAGTGTTGGACTATTTTTCCGTCTCATCTGAAGGTTTATTTTTGGTTAAAACTCCATATACGACTTGCACCGGTCTTGATAAAATGTTGATATTGTTAGTTCATGTGTAAATATACTATTAGAAAGTTTAAAATAAATAGCATGCTGACATTTTTTTTTATGAGTGTACATGTGTGTAAATACAGATAGGGCTTGGGTATTAATTTACCCACTGATAAAACAGTGTATTCTAATCATTATAAATTTTAAAGTACATTTAAATAGCTATGCTCATGACCAGTATATATTTATAGGTCTGATCTATGTACGTAGCTTGCTTTGATCAATAGTTAATATTAATTGACTGCCTTTCAAAATGTGCAGTATAATTTAACAGCATTATCTCATATCTGAGACACGTGTTCGAACTTGTGAAATTGATTTGCAGCTGATTTTTCTGGCGCGTATAGAAAGTTCTTAACGCGTGAGAGCGTTGCCAGTTTACCATATTTGGCCAGGAATTTCAGGTGTTCGTGCTTACGGCATGGAGTGGCAACGTTCTTTGAAGAATTCCCTTACGGCTATAAGCCCTCCTTCTCCAGGTTGTAATGGAATTTACCTTCTCGAAACAGACAACAGTAAATACAGTTTGTGATTCTACTTTACATTTTTACCGAGTCTGTCTTTTCTTTCTTCTCAATTCAGGTTCTCAGGAAGTGAAACAATATCTATCTACAGGTTGTTTAAATATTCTAAATTGTTTACTTACCTGTTTTTAGAAAATAATAAAGGTAAATATTATTAGTACGTATGTGTGATGTTATTATCAGTTCGTCTTGTTTTTATTTACGCATCTTTACTTTAGAAACGAGGTGTAACAAGCCCTAACTGCATATATCAAATTATGCGTTATTATAGTAAGGAATGTATGAAGTACGCTTATTTATGGAATATACAAAGTATTGGTGTGATACGAATCCAGTTTAGACGTCATGGTCGAGAGCTCTCTTTCGAGAAAATGTGTCTATAATGGTACAGAAAAGCGATGGGTGGCCGGAAGTCTTCCCTCGACAGCTGCAACTGGGTAGGGCTGCTATGCGCGCACACACACACACACCACCCCGTAGTGACACGACCCATTTCTCAGGGCACTGTTGGAATGTTGGCCCATCACTTAAAGTACTAGTTCAATCATGCCGCTTTCCATTCACAACGGTTGTAGTCTAGATGAGGTACGGGTATCGCGAGACTTGTGGCAGTTCAGATTCTCAGATCTCTTGAGTAGAAAGATTTGTTGACTGTTAGTGGTTTCGATAAGTGCAGTTTTCTTTTTAAACAGTCGTTTTAAAATCCCGAACCTACTTTAACTTGTTGATGTTAAATAGAATAAATTGTTTTATAGTAGGGCTGGATGAGCCAATTTGGGCCACGATTTGAAACAATAAAGAAGAATGGGGCAGTCAAACGTGAAATTTACAATTACAGACGGTAATTCCATATTGATCTTTTTGGTTCATAAACTTGGGAAAACTTTGAACTCTTAATAATAATAGAAGGCAATTTAATTATGATTATATTACTGATAACAAAATCTCTAAACTCAAAAATCCTGGGTTCGATTCCTCGCGGTGCACACAGCGGATAGCCTAATGTGGCTTAACTCTGAAACAAAGAAAATATCCGAATATATCAGTTAATTGTAAATCTTTGGATTGCAAGGAGATTACATTACATTTTCCTGTTCAACATTTCAAACAAAAATTCAGAAAACTTTCGTAGATGGTGCTGGAGATCGCTCTAGTGCTGGACTTGTTCGCCAGGTAACAATATCCTAAATAAATCAGTATTATAAAACACAGGAAGTAATGTACAACAGATGAAAAGTATATTATTACACCACATTTTCCGGTGCAACATTTGAAGAAAACGAAAAAGTAGATGAAACTACGCGCTCGTGCTGAGTTCGTGAGTTTCGTAGTTCTAAATAACTTCTGTTGACACCAGGGGTTTGGTTTGTTTAATGGACGTCCATTGTTGTATTCGTGTATACTTATGTGTCATAATACCTGTATCCTCTGACAGTTTATTTTGTTAGCTGTATCCTCTGACAGTTACTACTGTGTTAACTATATCCTCTGACAGTTTATTTTGTTAGCTGTATCCTCTGAGAATTGCCGTTGTGTGAACTGTATCCTCTGACAGTTACCACTGTGTTAACTGTATCCTCTGACAGTTACCACTGTGTTAACTGTATCCTCTGACAGTTACTACTATTAGCTGTATCCTCTGACAGTTACTACCGTTATTTGTATTCTCTGAGAATTGCTGTTGTGTGAACTATATCCTCTGAC